AATAAATTGTAATATATAAAATCAAAAGTATAAATAATAAAGTAACATAAAAATAATAAAATAATATATATWTTTTTAATATAAATATATAAAATTAAATTAATAAAATATAAATATAKAATTAATTGACTTGATGTTTATGACAAAAAATCATTGCACAAGTTTCAAAACAATCAAYACCCCTATTAAGGGGGTGCGGTTAGCACTGCCCATAGAAAATTATGCGTAAATAAAATACTACTTGACTTTTTAAACCATCCATTCTTATTAAATATAGTGATTAATTAGTAAATAAATATAATCAAAATTAAAAAGTTTTGAATTTGAATGTTAAGAGCTGTGGTTCCCTCTTTAAGGTGAAGGATTTTGGAGATTAGTTTATTAATTATTATTATTTATCCTTAAACCTCCTTTGTGGTGGTTTGATTCTATGCATTAGGGTTTTCTTTAATCACATCCAATTCAGTTGGGTGTTGTGCATTTGTCTAAACAATTAAAGTGTTCTTTTAGGCCTTTTCTTCTTGACTTTGGTCAATCTTTTGGGAATTCTAGATTCCTTAACTTTGACCAGTAAATATTTTAAGCATTTATCATAGAAAGTTTTTACAAAATGGTGTTTTAAAACATGTATTTTAAATCATCTTTAAATGTAAAGTTTATGTCTAAACGACCCTCGGTTAGTTTTGGTCGATACTTGTTGACGGACTTTAACCTCTTAACTATATTGTATGCAATTACAAGAAGATGATAAATAGATTCATCTTCTTCTTTTTTGTGTTAATGGTTGTACATTTTCTAGTTTTTAATCTATCAGTCTGGTTAGGAATCTATATATACATACATGCAGAGGTGGACCTAGATTTTTTTTAAGTGGTGGCACCATTTAACTGTAAGGAACGAAAATATAGATATTTTTTCACAAAATCATCATTGGTTTGTTGGTTAGTTCCTTGTTTTTCGTATGTGAACTATTGTGTTTCAAGTCTTTTATTGCAAATTCTTTCAGAAAATGATACAGTGACGCCTTTCACGACCTATTTTTTACACTACGACGGAGGAACGAAGCAATTGTCAGTACCACAGTATGCAGTAGAGTGGGGTCCACCTCTTCATACATGCATGTATGTATATACACAGAAGAGAGAATAGAAATCATGAATGCTTTATATGTATATGTGGGTGGGTCTTGGGTCCTTCCCTGTTATAATCACCTTCTTAACTTCTAGTCTCATGCATATGCCCCATTGCTTTAATAATGCTTGTGAAATATGTAGTATTTGCATTTGATGATGAACCTACTAAAAATCAAAAGACAGCCCAAAAAAGACATAAAATGCTTTCAATTTCCTATATGATGCATGTTTAGTATTACCATTTTTTTTATTAACCTGGATATCCAACCCGCTATGCGAGCCGACTAATCCTAGGGCGACCACCAACTTTGCAGATAGCTCGGAATCACTGCATTTGAACCTCCGTAGCCATAAGGGGATTTTTATTCCTCCTTGGATTTAAACATGGGACCTCCTGGTACTTTTGACCTTTGAAGCCAAGCTCAAACCAATCAGACACCACCCTTGTAGTTAATATTACCATTTCTTAATTGTGAGGTTTTAAAAGTTAGTTTTATAAATATGGTTGCTTTTTTAAAAGTTAATGCTTGAAAATAGGTATGCAAGTAGTGGTTACTAAGAGAGTAGGGGTGTATCATCTACTGTATAATTGTCTCATCATAATGGGGAAAAAAAATCAGTATTCTTAAAAATACATCTGCTTAATTGTTAAGGATGCTATGCAATTTTTCAAAGTCAAACTTATAACATAAATCTAAAATGACTGAGATGGTCCAAGTTGTGGGATTAACACTTTCTTTTTGAGAGGTTACAGGTTTAGATCTCATTTTTAACGAATATCTAGTTTTCATCTTTTAAGTTTCAGCTTTTTTACTCGGTGAAAAAAACGATGGAAAACAATAGAGAGAGAAAAAAACGAGGTTGCAGGTTCAACTCTCGTTTTTAACGTTTACCCTTATAATTTAACAATGACATCAGTTAATTTTTTTAGGTCCGTCTCTGTATATAAATTTATTTTGATGTTGTATAATTTAATAATTGTTGGATTTATTTAAGTTTAGAGGGTTTGGAAAGAAGTCACATGTGCCATGTGACATGCTTTCTGTATTCAATTAAATGGACAAATGTATATGTTGTAATCCACTTTCCAAATAGTGGTTGGGTGGCCCTTCTATTCAAGATATTTTTCAATACACTTGTAATTTTATTTTATATTTTAAATAATATAATTTTTGAAGACTTTCTTTTACCTATTCTTCATCAATAATTGTTTCAAAATATTAATAACATTTTAAAGATTCTTTTCAAGATTTCGTTTACATTAAGTGTATTGGTATCCTTCTAACTCTTAAGAGGTTACCGATTCGAGTCCTGTAAAATCATTAAGTTGATCTGGACATCCATGATTAAAACAATATATATGTATATATATATATATATGCTATATTTAGTTGTATGATATATATGTGTGTGAGAGAGTGAGAGAGAGAATGAATAAATGGAGTAGCTATTTGTAGGAGTAGAATAAGCATGGCATATTGATAGTTGCAGGAGGGTTTGTTATTCGGAGACTGAGTAGGAATTAAAAAGAAAAAGGGAAGGTGAATGAATCATTGGAAGATGTTCCATTTTGCTGAAACCGATAAACCTCTTACCTCTGCATTGCATGCTACTTTCAATTCTGCCCACGGTATCTCTACCCACACAATCTTTCCTCTTTTTCAATAACATTAAACCCCCATCAAATCAAAACATAATGCATTTTATATATATTTATATATACCCACATAGAGGTAGGTTATTATACAATCTTTTGTATTTGTATAATTAATACAATTCAATATCAACCGTTTATTTAATTTGATGAATATGTGATTTTATAGAAGATTTGATTATTTTATAATATAAAGTATTGATCATAATTAATGAACTATATTCACCTTCCATAAATATTCAAAATGATAATAAATGAACTTTCATCATTTTCATAAATATCTTAATCTATTAGGTTGCATTTATTGTACAAATGTGATGGATTGCATTTGAAACGAATACATACTCTCTCTCTATATAGTATATAGAGAGAGAGGAGAGGAGAGGGGAGGGGAGGGGAGGGGGGGGAGGTTCAAATAACCACGTACATGTGATAGGAAATCAGGGCCAAAATTGTATGATTTTCTAAATGTAATATTATATGTGATCAATATTTTAAAAGACTTGTCAAATTAGTTGTCGTGACGTGTCGTGGTTTAAAGTTTGTGTTTAACACCACATTAGGATTGTGGGAAAATATGGTCTAATGCGTGATTTTTGTAACACGATATTTGATTTTTTTTACCTTTTTAATGTCTTGTTGGTTTTTAACATTTAACCTAATTTAAGTTATTTCATATTATTGACTCATTGAGTAATCATAGAAAATATATGATATAGAGATTTGCTACCATAAGTCACGCCTTGAAAAACGTTGTGGTCTCGTCGTGACTCCTAATTAAGGTTTGAGGATGAATAACCCATCTGACCCCAAACAGTTTCGGGGATTGGGTTACAATGAGGAGGGTTAAGGTGAGAAGCGTAAAAAGGGATCTCTACTCTTGGATGCACATTAGGATGAGATGCAACGGATTAATTCCCGTATTAAGCGTGATTCATGAGTGAGTTTGAGATTAAAGGTGATCAATTTTTGATAATTTATAAGAACTTTTTTTGTGTGTCTCGTTGATTTTTTCAACATCAATAATAATTATAAAGTAAAGAAAATAAAATAAAATAAGAAAATTAGAAAAATGTCACTTCTTACAAACTTCATGGTAAGAGTGGTTCTTGTACAAAAACCTAAAGAGGATAAGGTTCCTATAAGAACTCTCCACAATGGTAGTTACTACAAGTCACTTCATTTTTTTATTAATAAGAACCTTGCATTGGATATGCTCTTAGGGGTTGTTTGTTTACCTCTTAATAGTTCCATCAAGTGGCATCTTTGAATCGTTAAGAGATAAATCTTGTTTGGCAAAAAAAAATCTGTCTCTTAATGGTTTTAAAACCCTTTGAATGATTTTGTATCATAGGTCTCCTTAACCATTCAACGCCCTAATTTCATCGTAGATAGTGTATCAAACAATTATATTTCATTTGCACTATATCATGCGAGCTTCTTAATCATTCTGACCGCTTATTCATTCTGCACCAAACCATTCAGCAACTGCCAAACAGCTCCTTAGGCCCTTAAGAATTGTGTTAGACAACCCAAATGCGGAAAATGTTATTATTGTTTTCACGATTTTTTCCGCCTTTTTATTTAAAAAATATAAATAGAAACAACTCACAAAATAAAGAGTTCGTATAAAAAAACTGAGACAAGTATTTACAGTAGTTCGGACCTTTTTTTAATCCATTTTAATAACACCTATCTTGAAATCTGATTTTACTAGAATAATACAATTCTAACAATGAGATAAAAAATATATATTTTTTGTACCCTAAAAGTAAATTTGTCCAAACAATGTACGGACGTCCGGATTAACGATACAGATACTTGCATTTCAAAACTATAATCGCCGAATTTGATAAGAGTCATTACAAACATAAAATCCAACATTATAATTCGTAGGCACCCACACAAAGACATGTGAACGTCCATATTCAAAAAGTGACGTTACTTAAACAAAAAATATGCGTTACAGAAAAGCAAACAGAATGAAAACATTGTTTATTACGGAAGTTAATACGGAATCGGTTTATACATAAGTTTGGAAAGAGTTTGCATTGAAAGCAGTTTTCGTCTTTCATTTGAATTCTCGGATTATTTGAAAACATAAAATATTTTTCTAAGAAAAACATTTTCAAATACATAATTCATTTCGATGAAGACACGTTTCAACCCAAACGAAAAAACATACTTTTAATCCAAACAAATAAACTAGAATTTGATCAGTACATTGGTCTTGGTTACTGTTGAAAAAAACTAGATTGTTAGCAGATAGTTTCCGTCATCGGATTTCATCTATTCTTGCAATAGAACAAGACAATCATCCATTTTCAACAAACGAAGTCCGAAAACAACATAAAGTAAAAGTTTGGTAAAAAAAAATATTGAACCGAAAAAATGAATTGGGCCGTTTGCTAAACACTTACTTGGTAAATGCTTACTGGATAAGAATCTTACCGGGTAAGAGTGATGAGAATGATGGAGAGTCTTACCTGATAAGTGAAGATGACGCCTCTTACCCAATAAATTGTTGCATTCGATATGTTTTGATGTACTAAAATCTTGCGCATCAAAATAAATCATAGTGTTGACTCCTATCAGTAAGCGCTTATCGGGTAAGCAATTGGGTAAACGGCTCCTTATTCCCTCAAGAAATACAACTTGATGTTAGCCATGAAAGACCAAGAAACACAACAAGTAAAGCTGATCCAATGACAATAACACTGATGTCGACTTATCTTAACGAATAAGTCACATCAATTTGTAACATCCATAAGATTGTTTTGAACTCAACGAAGCACATTTCTCTGTACCACGTGAATCAAAAGTTGTCGTGTTATTAACTATACACGGAACAAAGAAACGAAGAAAATTTTGTGATAATCCATAAAAAAAATCACAATATTTTTTTCCCGAGTCATTTGCCATTGTGTTTCAGTGTCTCGTCCAAGCGAGTTCGACAGACTTTGTCCCTTTCGAAAAATGAGCACGAACCGTTCACAAGAAAGAGTCCCTCTACAGATTTGAACGTTAGTTTCTTAACATTGAATATTAAGCCATTAATCATTGATCAATCAGTATACGATTGTTGGTAAATTTCAGTCTTTTTAAAGATAAAAAATTGAAGTATAAAGAAAAATGATTAAATAGAACATGTGTAAATTTTATCATATATAAATATTATTTATATTACCTTATAAACCAGATTTATCAAAAATCTTAAAAACAATTTTTAATACACAAATTACTATACATTTATACACAAAGTTTTAAAAGTCTTAAAAACAACTCATAATGCATTAAGTACTACTACTTTATGCATTCAGTATTAAAATCTCTTAATCTACAATTAGAATAACATATAGTACAAGTTACCAATGCATATTATTATATTTTTTTGTCATGTTTTCAAGATACTTTTGACATCTTTTACTCATGTTTTCATCCTCTCATACCTCTATGTCTTCTCCCCATCCCTCGATGTGAGATTCAAACTGATATTCACCATGAGTTATTAAAAGTTCTCGCATTCATCACTCATTCAATTACTCTATAACTCTCGATCTTGCTCTCGATCTTTTGATTTTTTACTCTTGGTGTAAATCGAACACATTTGTGGAGCCATTTAAATATGTTGAATTTTAAATATATTGGATTTTTAACTGTCGTACAATTTTTTTCATCGATAGACTGTAATTGAAACCATAACTCTTATTTATTCAAATTGTATTAATATGTAAAGACCAAGTGTAACTTATATCATCGTTAAATCTTCTCTAATAAAACCAGTGAAACTTTAAAATCGTTAAAATTCACGGCTTCCGCCGCATTACACGGATACACAACTAATATACATTAGAAATTTGTGCTGGTGGCTCCCCCCTAAACGCTTAATATAATAATAATTAGCATTTTAACAAATTTTTATCAACACCTTCAAGAGATTTTGAAGTTTCTATATGAAAGTAAACCGTTTTGGATAAAGAATTAGAATGCAAAAAATTAAATTCTCAGGGGACTAAACAGCACGTTAGTGTATACTTGAGGGACCAAAATTGTACTTTACTCTGAATAAAAGCCTGGTGGAAAATCTATGCTGCTTTATTCCTCTTTATCTTGTTTCTCTCTGCCTTCTTTTAAAAGTAAAAGAGGGAATGGACTTCTGCCGGAATGTCTCAGTTTCAGGTGGGATTCCGGCCAACTATCCGCCGGAGCAACAACTTCTGTCTCCATCTTGCTCTAAACTCGGCAGCCTTGATGACCTCTTCTCCGGCCACTCCATGGTAATGCTTCATTTACTTGTACATTTAAGTACAACTTTCTTAAACGAAGTGTTTTCTTAGTTTTCACATTTCATGAGTGAAATGGGTTTTCTTGAGCAAGGTACAAGCTTTAATGCATGAAGTACAAGTTCTTAATTTGAGAAGTTATGCAGGAAGAAGGAGATATCAACACAGAATGGCTGTCAATTTTTGTGGAAGATTGTTTATCCAGCAGTGGAAGTTGCATACCAGTAGCCATGCCTTTAAATCCCATGAGTACAACTTCCGATGCACAAGGTACAACAACCACAGCAGCAGCAGCAGCAGCAGCAGCAGAAGAAGAAAAAGACTCTGAAATGAAGAAGAAAAAGAAGAAACCCCATTTGGGAAACAATCTTTCCCTGCATAAATTGGTTGTACCTTGCAAAGCAAGAAGCAAGAGAAGGAAGAGAAGTCAATTCAAAGGTACAACTCCATTAAGCTGGTGTCAAGATTACCCCATGAACACAGACCCTCCATTGCTTCATCAAGCTTATTGGTTAGCAGACAGTGAGCTTATTTTACCAAACAAAAGTACAACTCCTAACAGCAGCAGAAGTGGAGATTACGGGCAGGGAGTGTACAAGCAGATAAAGCATGAAGAAGAAGAGGGCAGCAGCAGCGGGCAGGGAAGGAGATGCAGCCATTGTTTGTCTCAAAGAACCCCACAGTGGCGGGCAGGACCAGAAGGGCCAAAAACACTGTGTAATGCATGTGGCGTTAGGTATAAGTCCGGCAGGCTGTTGCCGGAATACCGGCCGGCGAAGAGTCCGACGTTTGTGAGTTATAAACACTCGAATTCGCACAAGAAAGTGTTGGAGATGAGGATGTGTTCATCATCTTCTTCCTGAAATGAAATCATTTTTTTATGTTAAAATTAATGGAATTGAAGGATCTTTTAGGATTTGAATTTGAATTTTAATTTGAATTTGAATTTTATTATGATTAATTAATTACTTTTTTTTATCCAAAATAATTATTTTTTAATTGGGTAAGATTCCAATTTAAATACTATCATCCCCTTTCTTGAAAACAATAATTGCTTTCTATTTTAGTTCATATAAATATTTTTTAACGCTACTTTATTATTTTAATTTGTGCTAACATAACCGTCCATTTTCAAAAATAAATGCATATTTTTCTGTTCTTACTTTTAATTATATGAAAAAGAATATTTATCTTTATATCTATATTATATTATAAAACATCTGACAAAAATTCCTAAAAACTATTTTTTACGTATAAATTACTGTTTATTAATGCATATTACTTAAACTCAAGATTACAAGTAGATTGTGCATAAGTACAACTTATTAAAGCTTCATATATGAATTCATGTAACTAACTGCAGATAAACATAATCAAATACAGGATAAACATTTCATTTTAAATATAAAACATCTAAAATATAATTAGGATAATCATTGAGTTCTAACAAAATATTTAATTATTATTTTTATAAAATATTATATTATTAAATCAAAAATAAATTATTTCATTATTAAACTTAAATTAAATTATAATAAAAAATAAATTAACGAAATTACATAAAAAATAGAACTTTTAGATAATTGATTTGATACTAATATTGATATATATATTTTTTAAATTTTTATTATATCTTTAAATTTATATTTTATTCAAAAATAAAATAATTATTGTTTTATTAAAAACACATAAAATCGTATTATAATATTGACAGAGACAAAGAATAAAATAAAACATTAAAATCGAGATGTATCCCGCTGCATTGCGCGAGTACCCTTCTAGTCTTTATAAAATGTTATATTATTAAACAAAAAATAAATTATTTTATTATTAATTAAAATTATAATAAAAAATAAATTAATTAAAAAAATTACATCAAAAAATAGAACTTTTAGAAAACTTGATTTAATATTAACATTGATATTTTTTTTAAAAGTTTTTATGATATCTTCAAAATTTATATTTTATTCAAAAATAAAATCATTATTACTTTCTTAAAAACACATAAAATCGTATTATAACATCGACAGAGACAAAAAATAAAATAAAACATTAAAATCGAGATGTACATCATTGCATTGTGCGAATACTCTTCTAGTAATTAACAAAAAAAAAACGATTTTTTTATTAATTAAAAAGTGTAGTTTTGTATATATATTTTTATTATGAACATTTATTTTGGGATGAATGTAGAAATATAAATACTTACTTTTGTAAAATTTTAATCATAATTTTGTTTTGTATAAATGAATAAAATGATTATTTAGATTTTATTTTAATTTATAAGTTTTAAAATATTTTATCGATATAATTAAAGATTTTATGAAAATATCAATTAATTCAAATTATATATTATTTTAGGACCGATTGAGTATTTCACATTGTTGAGTTTGATTTTCAACTCCACATTTTTTAGTATTTTTTACCGACATTTTAGATATTTGTTCTATAAACAATAAAACAAATATTAAAAAAAAGTTATTTTAAAATTCGAAATTGAAGAAAAAATTAGAAGGAAGGAGACAAGGCATTTTGAAAATAGAAATTTGGATGTGACTCGACCATGTGTTATTATTATTCTTAAATGTTATGATATCGACGTCTTTTATCCGTTAATGTTCGTAATTTATATAATCTTTTTAATGTATGAATTCTTGTAACGAAATGGAAAAAAGTATTGACGGGTCAACCAACATGTTTTGACCCGTACTAAGGTTCATCTGTTAAGACCTCTAAAAACAATGTAATTTATGTTGAAATCCAGCTATAATTCTTGGTCCAAGTCTATAACATAACAATATGATTGAGAATATCCTAGCCTAGAGAAATCGACCTAGATTCAATACAATACAATCAAGCCAGTCTAGAAACAATTAGGCCGCAGGTTATACCCGCTCCAAGTCCCGACCTAGAATAAGGAAATACATTGACCCTGGATTTATTCATTAACTGAGCTGTTTGGAAGTTGCTGAATGGTTTGGTGCAAAATGATTAAGTGGTCAGAATGATTAAGAGGCTCTCATGATATAGTGCAAACTGAAATATAATTGTTTACGATGAAATTAGGACGCTTAATGGTTAATGGAGGCCCATGATACAAAATCATTCAGAGGGTTTTAGAACCATTAAGAGACAGATTTTTTTATGTCAAACAAGATTCATCTTTTAACGATTCAATTGCTGCCTCTTAATGGAACTATTAAGAGGTAAACAAACAACCCCTTTAAACTAACATTTTTTGGTATATGAAGTATTCTTCACACAAAAAAAAAAAAAACTCAAAATTAACTGCTCAAATGGTAATCAAAATGAGATTCAAGCATATCAGCATCTTACTATCTCAAAATCAGATAAAACCTTAAAAAAAGAAAAAAAAACTCAACAAAATGTCAAAAAAGTTAAACCTCGAATCATCGATTGAACTCGATCATGTTAATGACCAAATCATCTTAACATCATTTTACTGTAAAATGTAATGTTGTGTTAGAGAAGAAATGATATGAAAATAGGTTGGGTTTTTTCGGTTCTTGCCTTACAAGATCCCGACAAGTTCAAACTTTTTGTAGAATTGCATCGACCGGACTTTTATCTTACCGATCCGTATGCAACTCTACTCTTGATGACTTAATTAAACCTATCATATATAAAAGAAAAAGAAATGGGCATATGGGCTGGCCCATTTGATATACTTAATAATTTAAGCCCACCAAGTAATTGGGCTTGGATAGTATCTATGTTTTGAATATAAAACTACAAGTATACGTTACGAAGGGACTATGAACTCGTACAATACGTGTGTAATGTTTTTTTAATTTATTTTTGTTAATCGTAAGTGTTCGAGTTAGCTGGCACGCACCTCGACTAATTTTAAGGGTCTTGGAGAACAACTAGGAAGATCCCTAGTGGCATTGCAGACTCGAACCGGTGATATCTGAGAATAATTTTCAAAAGCCAAGTCTTATTTTCAAGAGAGCTAATTTCACAAGGTTTTGTAATGTATATTGTGTGTTTTATGGTAAGGTTACGTCGATATTTTGTTGATAGGGTCATATGAACGAGTAGGGGCGTGCAGAAAATGGACCGATCCCATAAGAACGACCGACAATAATTGAATATCCAATTGTAATTGGATCAAATCAGATTGAAAATCTCAACATCCAATTTGGATCAGTCAGTTCTTAGATGGCAATCAAGAACCGACCTAAACTGGACTGATCCCATTAGAACGACAAACAATAATTGAATATCCAATTGTAATTGGATCAAATCAGATTGAAAATCTCAACATCCAATTTGGATAAGTTGGTTCTCAGATGACAATCAAGAACCGACCAAAACTGGACCAAACCGAAACGACCAACTTCCAATTACCCATCCAATTGATCATCCAATGACTATTCAGTTGTCCATCTAACCATTATCCAACTAACATCCAATTAATTTGGTTTCAACTTGCTTAAATCAGAATTTGTTTTGTGTTATTTTTTAATTTTTAATTTTGTTTTGGTTTTAATACATATTAAAAGTGACAAATTAATATGTTTCATTGTTGGAGAATTTGAATGAATTAACACACCGGAGGATTCACTCCCATCGGATCATCCATTGAATATCCGATGGATATCCAATAGATGGAACCGAACCGATCCAATCATCCATTGGATTGTATTGGATTAGATCGGTTATCCAATGTTAATAGGACCAGATCGGTTGGCAAAATCCAACATCCAATTGATGATTGGATCAGTTCGGTTCCCCTCACATCCAATAGATGTCTACTGATGAACAAGCCTACGAACGAGTTCTATAAACATTACGTAAGAGTTCATACACATATATATAAAATGTTAATCAAAATTTTAGTTATTTATTGTCGCAAGATATTAATATATTACTTGATAATATGATATAATTATGGTATTCATTTTTTTCATGTTTAAGAAATATTACACTCACGCAGATATATGTCAACTGAAATACAATGAAATTACTTCAAATTAAATATTAGATGCATACCACGTGAAAAGTGTAAGAAACAAGACTAGGTGTTTTTATAGTTGTAACTTGTAAGATGAAGAAAGTGTAAGAAACATGAATGACGTTTTTTTTGCACCCGTTTTGGTGAAGATTGCACAATGAGATAAGTCGGTGATGGAAAATTAAATGTTACTTGTATTCATGATTTTGATGACAAAACCATGATAGAAGATGTTGTCTTGTTCAAGAAACTGTTAAGCATTGATAAATCTTTACCAAGTTTAAATAGTTATAAAAAAATTACAATACAAACAAAATAATTGGGTATCGTTTTGAAATTTGTTAGATACGTATAGTTTTTTTTTCTAACAAATGAAGCACTTATTTGCCTTTTGTTAAAATTGAATAAATTTGTGAGGTACCTAGATTTCTTTGACAAATGCATACACATGTAGATATGAGTATGTGTTTTCGGTGGTGCTGGTGCTGGTGGCGGTCAACAGTGGTGGAGGAGGTGTGCATGTTATGGCCAATATAGTGGAGGTAGAGATGGTGGTGACCTATGTGGTGATGGATGGTGGTAGGTAGGTGGTGGTGGTGAAGGTGGTAGTTGTGGAGGAGGTTGTGAATGGTGGAGGTGGAGGTGGTGATTATTAGCCGTCGTCGGGGTTGGTGGCAGTGACGAGCCGACGACGATGAATGGTGGTAAACCATATACCATATTATGGTTGCATCATATAATGGTAGATTGATAAATTTTCTAGTTTTGTCGTATCTTGCTCTACCTATTTTGGTAGAACAAAATGAACTTTTTTTGTCTCGTCCAATCCCACCTGGTCTATATCCCATGTCACACCAAACATAAAACAATGAGTTTTTATCTTGTCTCGTGTTACGTCAAAGGTGAGACAATAAGTTGTCTATCGTGTCTGGTCCCATACACCATCATGGTGATCGTAGCTTTTGTCCCTTCCTAGATTAGATATAACCTCCACGATGGTTGCTTAAAAGGCTAAAAATATACTTTCTCCGTCCCAAATTAAGTATCCATATTTTTTGTTTCAAAATAAGTGTTTATTTTCTCATTCTAATCTTTAATTACAAGATAAAGAAAGTCTCTCTCTCTAGCCTCTGTTATCAAGGATAAAAGTGTCATGTAGTTGTTTAAAAAGTATAATAATTTCTTTTTCTTTTTTGATTAACCCGGATATTCAACCCGCTATGTGAGCCGACTAATCCCAGAACGACCACTTGCTTTACAAATAGCCCAGAGTCACCGCATTTGACCTCCATGACCACAAGAGGATTTTTATTCCTGCTTGAATTTGAACCTAGGACCTCCTAGTACTTTGTGTCATTTTTATGGTAAACATTTGTTCGAGACGTAGGGATTTATATTCATCAAGCTACTTGAAAAGAGGAGAAAATGGTAAAGCTTATGATTTATATGTGAACTAAAATTATTAATGATGCAAGTACACGAAAATGGTATTAAATTAAAGTTCACGTATGGAAATAGTAGCAGTATATCAATATCATCAAACATGAGAGGAAAAAAAACCCAGAAGCTAATGGCAATCGATGGATTTCAAATTCGTGTATATTTACACAATTAGTTCGTCTTCAAGAAAGTTGTACTCAAATTTGAAGTCAGTCTTGATTCTTTGGCACCTGTTGGATCATATGGCAAAAACACTGCTTAGCACAAAAAGAAAGGAAAAAAAAAACCATTTTGCAACAAGACAAATTGGAAAAATATGAAGAAGAAGCATTTCATACCAGCCGTTTTGCATCTCATCGTTGCCAATATGAAAATCAAAGTAGACGTATGTTCCCTGTTCATAATCATCGGTGGCGAATTTTGGTTCCTCGTGACGTTGGAACCACGTGTTGTACTTTTTATGGTATCTCCATGATTGCTTCTTCAATTCTTTGGCAGCCAAATACTGTTGATAAGTGTTCTGCATCAAATGCCACACAACAACAAAAACCAATTACTCACCATAAACTTTAGCCATACTATACGGATTCTCTCTAGTTTCTCTAAAATAAAAAATAAAAGGTATAAAATACCTGCTGATAGTAAAATGCAAAAAATAAAGTATCGGTGCCAATGTTATCAGATCCAAGACGCTCCCAAAAGGCAGGGTTATTGACGATTGGCGCCTGCACTTGAGGATAGCTTGAAGGGGTCACAGCAGGGTGTCTCTGAAAATAGAGAAAATGCATGTTGAAATATAAAAAAACCAAAAACACATGCATGCAATATGATAGAGGATTAACAAAGAATGATAAATTTTCATACTGCAGTGTAACTCTTTGCACGCTCGGAGTCCTTGGGTTGGGGGAGTTTGTAAAAGGCAGCCTCAAGCATCTGCAGATTGTATTGTTGATCATGAGTCCCCCCCAAGCTAACGGCTAACCCACTAAGGTTGTCCCCAATTGCACCAAGGTCAGAAAGGCTTCTTCTACCGATAACCCCAAGGCTAGCCGACTGATTGGATTGCAAAGGCTGTCCAGGAGAGAGATCTACATCTCGTGTAGTTTGTGCATGTTCTGTCAAGGAGCCAGATGCTCCAGCCTATCATAACAAAAATTCAGAAACAGATCATGACCAACTGCTTTGTAGTTTGTAAAATTGTAACTATATTGACAAAATACCAAAAGAGGAACGGTAACACATGAAGTCTCTAGTTACAAGCATCAATTTTTTTTTGCTATTTGTGTGGATTTAAGGGGAGAAAAAGCATGTCTACATAACTGCAACGTTGTAAACCTTTTGAGGGCCACCAAATAAAGGCTAGGAGTTGGGGTTCCTCCCCATAGTTCGCCAGTTTGAGTCTTCTCAGAGGGGGGGTGATTTTCCTGGCTGTTATCTTCAAGGCCCCATGGGATTAGTTGAGGTGCGTGCAAGCTGGCCCAAACACCCATGGTTACCCTCAAAAAGACTGTGACATTGTATAGATGCCCAGAAGGTAAAAGAGAACTAGTATGGGAGCACAAATGCAAGCCGCCAGAGTCCAGACTACGTAAGGAATTTACAACGAATCGCAGATTTTAGGAGATTGATCCTAAGAATCAGCTGAATGAATATTCCGATAGTTTGCTTTCCTACAAGTCAAAAAAGCGTAGAACTGAGAGCAAGTATACCTGCATATCTAATGCATATGACACTTTTTGATCTTCCTCATTTACAGAGCTCTTGCTATGCCCAGGACTTTGGGCAGGATCAGCAGCTGAATCATCAGATAGGCTTTGCTGTTGCTCCATCTCATCAATTTTTGCATTGCCAATTTCTGCTTGAAGTGCATATTGTTATTCAAAAGGATAGGCAGATGTCAAAGATAAATGTGTGGATGCCAAACAATACTTCCTTTTTAAATGAATTGGTAGTCAGAAGAAAATATGACAATAACATTCAGAACGTTAAAAAAAAGTTGCAAGAGTATTACCAACAAGCCACAATATATAATTAAGAAATTACTATTACGCGTACCGGAATCTTTAGAACCAGTCGACATAAGTGCCTGTTGACCAGACTGCAGATGTATCGAAGTTGGTTGTTGTGCAGATGTGACAGGGTTAGGACCTGTTGGCTGTGGTCCACCCAACCCACCTTGCGACAACACAGTTGGACTTTGAGGATTGAACTGTAAATATAATTCAAATATTAACACCCTTCACTGTGCATTAAAAAAGCATGATTTATATTAAACTAAATATTACTAACAAAAGAAATCAGAGTAATTTCTGCTATCTGCTTATGTTCCCAAAAGGATTACACCTAAAACAAACCTAGCAATTACTTAAATCCACAAAGGAGAAAGAAAATGTTGGACAATAATAAAGACGCACCTGCTGCAGAAGAGGGTTCTGCTGTGCCGAGAATTGCTTATGATTTCCTCCAGAAATGGGAGGCATGCCAAGAAGGGTACTCTGACCTTGTTGCTGGACTTGCTGGAATCGCTGCAAAAATTTCTCCCTTTGGTCTGGTGCAATTTCAGTTCTCCCACGGAACTGTCCCTGTGTAGCAAACAAGAAAAACCATTAACTTCAAAAAATTAAAAGTTGCCAAACCATTCAAGCACACTAAGGACTTTTTTCTTAGGCACTTGGACCACAAAGATTTTAAAAGAAATGCCGATACTGTGAGCAGTAGGCCAAACCAATTTCTTCATTTCTTGAAATGTTCAAACAGTGTCGCCTATAAGATTTGAAGCCACATGCCCACATCCTTTAGGTTGAGGAGAAGGAAGGCTAAACAAAATTAAAAAACTCCACAATGTAATGCGGGTAACAGATACCACATATTCGTTCTGTTCAAATTTAATTGGCACATCCCAATTTTGAAATTAAGTTTTCAATCTATATATATTGTAGATTCCATGTTAAGATGAAATCTGCAGTCCTATTTTGTGTTTCAGCAGCACTGCTTATTCCTTTACCTTTGTAAAAGAAAACAACAATGAAAAGCGCGATAGGGAAGGACAAGTAGGGACAGGATTCATTTTTGGTGTTTAGATGAACTTAGAGGAAAACCAGGTAACATACCCCTTCATGCTGATTCTGGAAGGAACTTCCAGGCCTCCACTGTATGCCAGGAACTCCAGAAGGTGAAAACACTCTTGCAGTCATACCTCCTGCCTCGCTAGCATTTCCATTATCACCTGAACTAAAAGCATCACTAGTTTTAACACCTTGTGGCAAGATCATTCTGTTACTCAAAGATGAAACCGGAGGATGCACCATGCCACTACTGCCAAGTCTCTCATCAGTCCCCAACATAGTCCTCTTAGCCATTTCTGAAACTGAGGGAGCAACACCATGGGAACCATTGGTAGAAATACTACCGACGGAGCTAATAGGGATAGTAACTGAAGATTGGTTGATCAGACTGCCTCTACCCAGATTCCTTATTCCAGCTTCGTTCAGGGCCGGAGATGATTTACGAACAGGAAAGCCTCCAACCTCTTCTTCCTTAGCAGCATTGTTTATGGGTGACGAAGGTATGGTGGAGCCTGTATTCTCCAAGACACCCCGAACAGAAGTTGGACCTGGAAGGATCGAGGAAGCAGCAAGATTAGGAGTTGTAGCACTAACAGCAACAGGGAGTGCATGGTTGCCAGTTGGCGTTGGAGGAGAAGACGAGATTGCACTGCTTTTTGGAGGTGGGGTCCTTGCTCCCTGCTCTGAACTGTTGTCCTGGGACACCGTCTCCTCAACTTGATCTAGGACAGAAGCTCCCTGCTAAATAGAAAAGGTAAATGTGACCCATGCAGGAACTCAGCATGCCCACATAATATATTTTGCATAAAAATACATATTAAACCAACCCAAGAAAGAATAAAGAGAACACAGATGTTGATGTGTAAATCACATGGTATAAATGATACGAAGATGAAAACATGTTTTGGTGTAATTCAAAATGATGCTAAATAGCATCTCATCATGGTGCAAACAAACTTCAGTAGCTAATACAGCAGAGTGAAAAGAATTTATTTACATGAACTTGAACAGATCTAATTCAGAGTTTCATATGCTCTGCTTTTTCCATGCTCCAATTCGCCAGTACTCAATAATATCCAACAGTATACTTACTATGTTATTTCCAAAACCTATCACAATTATCTTTGATCTCCATTGGAAAATGGCACAGGGGATATATAACGATGCTTGTTGATGAGTGAAAGTTCTACTTCAGTACACGAAAGTTATAGTGGCTTATTTTAGTGAATTGTCCTCAGAGCATCAGCCTTCCTTCTTCACAATGAGTATTCCAACTATTGGTCATCACATAAGTCATGACATGACCAAAATAGAAACACAACATTGCGATTCAAGACCTCCTCAACAAACTTTATTGAAAAGATACCGTGGCATGGAGCAACAAAAGAGAATATCTGATCAATAAGCCTCCAAAAAGTGTAAGGCCCATACTCTACAATCTCAACCAATAGGGGGAAGTTCAGAAAGAACCCAACGAACTTTCCCATTTTGAATATTAAGTCCCTGAACTTTATTTTAGAATGGAAACCCATCTAATTTTCTCATTTTGTATAATCAAGTCTATGAACATTTTCTTTTTGAATAAATAAACCATCGAACTTTTAAAATTTGGTCACCTACAGATCCTTTTGACCCAAAAAAGCTACCTGTAACCAGCTATGAAGGTTTTAAAGTAAAAAAAAAACATAAATCAGTTTTACCTTTCCCAAACCCTACGTCATTCAAACCCCTTGCACCCAATGACATCGCTCCCCCTCGCCCCCCCCCCCAAATCGTCATCCGTTCTCGATACCATCCATCGCCATCGTTGACCCGTGCCACCGATCTCCCTTTTTTAGAGAGAGCTGAGATGATGGGGCGGCAAGAGGGAGTGATGGCATTGGGTGTGAGTCGTATGAATGACGTAGGATTTGAAAACGGTAAAACTGATTTTGGTTTTTTTTCACTTTAAAACCTTGCTGGTGGTTACATGTAGCTTTTTTGCGTTAAAATGATGTATGTAACCAATTTATAAAAGCCCAATTGTTTATTTATTAAAAAAGGTTCAGTGACTTGATTACTCAAAATGAGAAAGTTCAATGGTTTATTCATTCAAAAGAATGTTCAGGGACTTGATCATTCAAAACAAGAAAGTTTGTTGGGTTTTCTGGACTTTTCCCTAACCAACAGTATGCGAATCCAATAAATGTTCAGATTGTATCATAAAAGCACATCGGATATGATAGAAAGAACAAACACTTCAAGCAGGGACATGATAGAAAGAACAAACACTTCTAGCAGGCTATTGGTTAATATGTTCACTGTGGAAATCAAGAAACCTGGCCATCCAAAAACCAGAACCAAACAAAATTGAGACTAGATAATGAGTTCATATTCAAGCATAAACACTTTCAACGTTGGTCATAACCACATCTACAGAAGATATAAAGAATGAAAACATTCCGGTAACATAATCAGCCAATTTCTAGATCAAGTATCACATTACCAGATATTAAATCCTCAGTGGATCCAGTTGCTATATAAGAGGCATATTTGTATTGTTGTATTGGCTGCTAACTTACTTTGAGACTTTAGACACTAAGTTGATTCTCCTCAAAAATGAACAGTGGTTGACCATTATAACACAACCTCTTTTTCATACGGCAAGTGCCTCAATAACTAAAACAAAATATGTTTTTGTGATTGGATTACCACAGCATCTAACCTACTACATACTGACAAAAGCATCTGTTTGACTTTGACAAGGAGACACCTTCAGAACAATCAAAGCAAAGCAAGCCACAAAGACACGTGCATCCAACAGGCTTAATGAACCAACAGACCTGTAGCATAAATGGTCAAATCAATTTGATCTATTTATTACAGAATCTGACATCCGAAAGGATGTAAATATAGACTACCATAGAAAAAGGCCTCAAAATCCCCTTGTGTGAGCATCTAATACCTTTCTTTCTGGCCACCCAGGACCAGAAATGTGTTTTTTCTTCTAATAGAACATTTTAACCAGCAGACCTCCAATGATCAAACTTCTTACCATACATATAAATAGAAATCAACCACTGATAAAAATGCAGGTAATCACCCTCACCTGTTCCATGATGAGACGCCAAGACAATTCAATTAGAAAACAAAATGTTTACATGCTTTATATCTAACATGGTCCTATGGGCCTTCCCATGCCAACTTAATATCCTTAACTCATGCAATTGAATACATCTAGCCTAGACAAAAGAGATGCCTATTTTACTTCCCTACTTGAATACAACAAAACAATGTGACAATTGACTTACCAATTATCATGATGAGCTTCTCTTATCAAACTCTAGGAATATAGACGCAGTTCACTAACTCATACAAAACTATGGCATTATATGTTGTATTTGTGGAGGAGGCTCAGAGATTACTGAACAGCTCCTTGATAGAAACACCAGAGCCCACCACGAGCAAAAAAGCCTCATTCAAATACAAGGTGCCATACATAACACCCATCTCCTTAACCATAAACAGTGACCAACACCCCCTCCCCTCTATCACCAACCTGAACTCTGAACCCTAAGCCTGTAACCCCCTTCCATACACCAAATCGAACACCCAACATCAGAATAATGGATCACACATACCACCCACATGGATGATCTGTTTATGCAGAACCCATGATGCAGCAAACAACGTACAAGCTGACACATAGAGGATCTCATTCAAAATAATCCCATCTGCATCCACCGGCTACTTCCTATGCCTAAATTAACTAAATAATAACATTGCTTTTAACCGACCTTGTTACCACTATTTTCATGTTTGATCCAGCTATTACGTCTGATAAGTCATAATGTATTACATGCATGTCTCAAATGGACTTGGGTCAAAGCAATACCCCTGAATGGTAGTGTCATGAAATTTAAAAACATTTAGAAAAGAAATTTTAACTTGCAATAAAAAAATGCCTTCGCAGGTGAATGGGGAGCAGCAACTACAAGTTTTCCTTTATTTTAGTACAAATAAAAGAACAAAATATGAAATAGAATGGAAAAAAGAAAACAGACATGATCTGCAACTCAGCCAACCRACCAAGCATATGCTCGATTCTTTAGTTAATTTTCCATTTTCTTTTCTAAGTGGAGCATTAGTTGCAAGGTTATTTGGATCTGCACATTGCGTATAGTTACATGCATGGGTCACCACTCAATGTGCCCCTTTTAGGTTTTAGTTGCATATTTTTCTCAAAGGTTATGCCTTAATAGTTTATAGCAATGGGTCTTCCAAATCCCCAACAACTCCAACAAAAGGAGGCTCCTCTTGCTGCTACATAAAGAGCATCCAAGTTGAGATACTAAAAATAGACTAACTTATTGCATGACAGCGATGGACATGTGTCATATTGTTGGCAAACTAATTTCTCAACATACCGGCGACTGAACTGGAGGTGAAGACAAAGCATTTTTCATACTTAGAACAGCACCAGTGGCCCCAACACCCTGCCAAAAAATAAATCAAACTAATAATGACCACTGTTTTCATGAAAATATTTATTCTTTTCTATGTAGGACAATGAAGCCGGCCTACTATTGATTCATTATGGTCTAAACTGCCTAGCCTAAAGATTGACATGCACAGATTAAACTGTGAAAACATAATATATGAACCAATGATACTATGGTGTCCTTTTAAGTAATATATCCACCTGCCTTATGTATTACACTTCAACAATCATGATCAAAAAATTTGACAGCACCACGACATTCCCGTTCATAGAAAGAGAAAGTGAATATGCACAGAAATCGATCCACATTTATGCCAAAAGAAGCAACTTTATGCAATGATTACAAGTAAAACTGATTTACAACGTTCAAAGGGGAAAAAAGTTTTCAAGAAAGTAAGGAGATGGTATTTTCATTGTTGAGGAAATACACGTCTAGGCATGGACTGGGGTTGACGTGTTGTACACGAGTAGAAGATACTTGTAAGTGTATTTTAAATGACAACTACTAATAAAAAAATCTAGATGGGAAAATTTCAACCCATTTATGTGAAAATGGGTCAATCTGGGTTATATTTTATTGATAATGGGTAAAATTCAAAAAATAAGTTAAAATGGGAACAGGCAATTTATAATTCACCCAAAGTATACTCAAGTGTTTACAACCTCCTAATTATTTTACTCAAAACATTTGGATCATTATTCTAACAAAATTGTTTTTGTAAACGTATTTTATATGTTAATTATTAATGAAATTAAAAAAGGACAAAAATAGTGTTGGCAGGTCAACCCACCCGTTGACTTGTTCTAGATGTTTACCCACACACATTTTGACCTCTTACCCAAGCCGTCGCCCTGTCCATTTTGCCACCTATACGAAATTCCGGTCTAGGCAATTATGTATGAGGATGAGCTAGTTCAAGGAATTCAATCAGGTGATAGACAAAGGACACATGCCTCGCCACAAAGATGAATACTGCTCAAGGTTTCAAGAAAATACAGCTTAGAAAATCCCTTTGACTGAATGTACACGACTAATTTCTCGTTTAAAGAAAATTGGCATCATGACTAACTTCTCGTTTACATCAAAATAGCTTTTTATATTACAAATTAAGATCATGAAAATAATCCATGTCTAACAATTATTCATAAAAACCTTTCTCCAAGAGAACAAAATCTGTTGTTCCAGTAGAAGAATAACAACGAATCAACTCTAACCAAGCATCAACATTTGACACAGATATTAGTGCAGACAAGGATGAGAAACTACAAACAGTAAAGGAAGTTGATCAAAAGCTTCTAACATCAAATATTAAGATCATGGAAAATCCAAAATTTCCCATATCTAAACCCATAACTACTGATGCAAGCTTTTATAGAACATAAATTTGTTCCAACCGAAGCAATAACAAAATGGATCAACTCAAACCAAGCGGAATCAATGTTTGACACGAATTTTAGTGCAGACAAGGATGGGGAGCTACGAACAATAAAGAAAGTTGATCCTTGAGTTACATCGGTGTTTGAAACAATAATAGCTAATGATTATATAAGGAAAAGGGCAGTAACTTCATTAACTTCAAAAAGAAGGCGAAAGATGCTCTCTTCGTTGTACATGTAGGTTTAACAACTTGACAAGACTATACAGCCACTTCAAAAGGTGGTTAATATGCAACAAGTAACGATGGGGTTAAGTATAGGTACCGGCAACAAGCAATAATATGGAGGAGGTCCTAGAACCACTAGAGCTATAACATGAGACAAGCCTTCAATCTAGAGATAGTGAAGGATCTTCGGAACTGGTTTAAATAAACCAATTTTAAAATATTGTAATGTAGCTGATGCATATAGGCAAGACTTAAAAAAAACATATGTTCTCAAATGATGAAACCAAATCTACATTCAGAGAGTAAGGTTTTCAACAGCAGAAATATGTACCTTAACAAGGCCAGGTGGCCCAATGGTAACTAAATCTTCTAGCGCCTCTACCTTGTCCAGCGATAAGGTGTTGTATAACATATCAACATCCTCAAATTCGTCAAAATCCTCCTACAAAAGAAATGACCTGGCTTAATACCCTAAAAGGTGCCATATTGGAGGATGCTTCGGGAAAATAATGAAATTCCTTTATATCTAAAAAAATAAAAGAAAAAAAACAAGCATATCAACTCTATGACATGTTCTGCTAATAATCATGGCCATCAGAAAATATCTGATAAGCAACTTTCAGATAGGCATCTAGATCAGATACCATCTAGCATTGACTGGAAAGACATTAACCACGTGTTTCAACACAGGGAAGACCTCAAAGGAACTTTTGAGAGAACATGAAATAGAAAATAAAAGAAGACCTGATTTCGTTCCACGTAATCATCAATGAAGTCCTTAACGTCATTGACTTGCTCAGGACTCAACTCATCATTATCCAGCAGCCTCAATATCAACTCTAGCTTCATTATATGAGCCTTGTGCCGGGCAATTGATGACTCTAAATGTGTCTATAGAACAAAAAAGTCCACTGATTATGAATCATAGAGAAAATTCTAAAGAAATGAAGTCTAAAATACGATGTGGAATTTAGAGAAACTGGATCCAATATTCGCCATCTTACCAGTCGCGGTGGTCTCGTCTTTCCTTTCTTAACAGACAGCCCCTCCATCTCAGCTTCAAAGCTATCGATTTGAGATTCGAGCTCTGACACCTAAACAATTATAAGCGTCTTCATACATAATGTCTAGTTGAGGAAGCACGGATGTACACCAACTCTATGAAGAATTGCTCTTGTACCAGAAGGGCTCCATGGAGACTCCTCAGTGCATAGGAATAATGTGTTCAACAAAAATCAACTAAATGGAGGTGCAAGAGGTGAGCACTGAGCAATAACATAATCATGACGAATAGATTCGATAAAATAATCATGGAGTAGATTCAAAAGATAAAATGTAAGCATAATATAGAGGCACACATTCTTTTTTTGGAAGTCCTTTTTATACCTTTTGTGCTCCTTAAAGGCCAAAAAATTGAGTTGGAGGAAAGAAAAATGAATTGAAGCTGCCAAGGATTCCTCTAGGACCAGGCAATCCTCATTTTCGGCAATACCAACACAAACAAACTTATATAACAATAAGATACAACATCTCACACCTTTAGCTAACAGAAACTTAAAGAACTACTAGATAAGTAAGAACCAGACCAACAACTCAAGCAATAAAACAAAGGCAGGCCTTCAAATCAGAAGTATAATCATACCGTATTGTTCAACCAATCTCTAGTCTCTGACTTGGCTTTCTCCTTTGGATCCTACAAAAGATAATTAACAACGAACTTCACCATAATAAATTCAAACCCAATGGTATTTTACTGTTTAAAAGACAAGTGATTTAACCCAGCTGAGCAAAAAGAAAAAAGGACCAAGTGCAACATCAATTCTAACTAACGGTAGATCCTACTACCTGGCAAAGACCTGGATACTGATTACCAATATATAAACTTTTCATACTACGTTATTGAAGAAAAAAAAAAGTATCGAGTTTACAATGACAGAGATGATTTCCATGCATGCATAACTCGATATCATCCACAAAAAAGATGCAATACCTACCGTTTTAGGTTGTTGTCCCAGGCCTTCCTTAGAGAAAGCTTTTGTCTTTGTTTCCTTTTCACAAATCTTAAATCGTTCCATTTCTCGTTCAATAAGCTTGCGAGCATCCATCAGAGCCTGCTCATAAGAGGCACTAACCTACGTCAACACGTATCAGAAAGAAGAACCTGATGTCAATAAGGAAGGAAGTAGTTGAACATAAATATAATATAAGCATCTAACTTTTGGTGTAGGAATTGAAACCAGATTAAGTGGCTACAGTGACAAAGATGCAAGTGCCAACAGACACAAGGAAAATAGAACATATGTATGAGAATCAGAGAACTCATTCGGTTAGCATTTCAGATCAAAAACCAGTTAAGGTGTTATTGTCAAATATGAGGTCATCGATGTAAGCAGAATTTGAACTTTCCTTGCAAGTCTGCTTAATCTAAGTAAACTTCAAGCTAAAAATCTCCTTGAGAATTGAGTTTAACAATGACTTGAGTAGAATTGCTCAAAGAGTTCCTTCATTTCCCTTGTTATTCCATGATGCAATACAACTAGTTGCTAAGAGATATTACATACTCGGTCATGCTGTTAAAGTTCTTAAGCAACACATCCATGTATTTGAAATTATCATTTGTTGATCAAACAGAAACTTCCGTCAATAATACACGTCCAGATATCAAAGAATATTAGATGGCTCGCCACAGTGGGTACGCTACATTTATTTCATAAGGCGACTAGACTGGATAGCCAGCGACTGTGACATGCTTGTGACGCATCAACTGCGTACCTTGATTATCAATTTTGATGACAAAGAAGTAGATAATAGGAACAAAAATGACCTTCTTATCCTTGATCTCGCTGGACTGTATCCATGTCTTAATCTGGTCTCTGTACCTCTGAAGTTTCTTAATCTCCTTCTTCAAGTCGGCCTCAAACTTCTCCTTCTGATTGGCATTGTCAGTATCGTAAACCTAAAACACGAGATTTCAACATGCGAACATGACAACTTCAGCATACAGATTACCTCAAAAACCAATAACGTCAACAAATTTGAAGAAACTAAGAAACACTTGGAAATACCTTGTTCCATATGCTGTCGAAAACGTCAACACCTTCTTGAACTTTCTTTAAAACTCGATCGATCTCACCTTGAAGCTTTCTACTCGCTCCCATTGGTAAATTACTAAATCTGGACAAGTAATTGAATTATGAAACTTTATCATCCAAAACCTTCGCAGGCCAACAAAGATGGTGACAAGAGACGTGATTGTTTTTGCAATTCTAGGGTTCCGATGGGGTGTGGTCTTTAGGTCGAGTTTTGTTATTTCTCAGTGAAGACGATGAAAAGGGTTATATTCTAAGATACTATAAAATAAAGCATTGTAATGGATTTATTTCGAATTTGTTATTATGGGCCGGGTCTAGTTTTGTGGTTCGGATACTTTTGACTTTTGAGTACATTACAAATATGTCCATGTGCTTTTGAGATTTCAGTTTTAGTCCTTCGACTTCATTTATTACAAATCTACGCTTATTATTTGTGTTTCGTTTTGGCTTCCATCTTTCTACTAATGCTCGTTATCTTCCATTTGTTAAATGCTCTCGTATGTCTATCACATGAGGGTAGTTTAGTCATTTTATAAGAAAATTGTGACACTGAAACGTGAATATAGTACACTTCGTTCTTAATGGGCATGGAAAGTGAATATAGTGCTCTACTTCTCTCATGTAACTCTGTCCCCAAGGGGTCGAGTCGGATCGGGCCAAATCTATCTTTAGGTTCCTAGTGAAGGCGATAAGATGATGTTGAGAACAGTGAAGAAAATGAGCGGGGTGGTGCCTGACGATGCAGGTTGGCTAGCCTGAGTTATAAAAGATATTGGTGATATCTTGGAGATCGAAAAGTTTATTAAGATTTTCATCGTGATTTGAATTTTTGCACTAGATGTTCTCAAAAAGATGGTCAGTAATCCGTTAAGGGTAGTAGACGAAAAAGTAAGCAGCCCACATTTTGTAGTCTTATGCCATTAGAATTTGTATATTTATTACTGTGAGCATCGCCGATGCAAGTGGGGTGGGTGGTGGTGGTGGAGAAAATGAAAAAGTGATGGTTAAACTTATAAATGATAATCCTCACGATTATTAAATCGTACGATACAAGATCTATTGGTAGATGTGAGTTCAAATGCGATTTGCGAACTCACTTTGAAAGTTGTGTGCATATGGGAGCAACTCGCTTAAGCAAACATGACAATTTGTGAACGAAATTGGTCAACGTCAATTTGTTAATGTCAAAAAAGAAATCCAATAAAGTAAAGGTATCGAAATCGTAATATTTTATCAATGATATAATACTTGTTCAACTTGTGAACGAAAGCATGGAAATACGAAAATTATTAATTCGCAGATATAACTTAACTCTTAAGAACGAGAACAAGTGGAAAAAAGGATTAGGAATCATTTTCTTCAAACTTTAAAGACAGAGACAACCATGATGTTGAAAAATTGTGCTCTTCAAGTTCTGGAAACGAACTAAATTACGAGACATATCTTGTGGCCCGATAAAATCAAGAGATAAGTTTGGTATCCTCATTCAATTAGAGGTGAGCAGCGGAATCGGGTACCCGTTTGCGGAACCGCCTTGGAACCGCGGTTCTGGTGAGTGGTTCTGGTTCCTAAAATACGGAACCGATTGAGAACGGTTCCGATTCCGGTTCTCAGTTTTTCGGAACCGTTTGTGACATCCGTCACCAAACCAGGTTAGTCAACCGAAACTCGAAACCTAACGTTAGCCCTTTTAGTAAATTTATGTGCTCACATGCTTCCTGAAACATAAGGTGTGAAATTTTAGGAGTTGGGTGTGTTCATTTTTTTTCTCCTTAAGTACTCTAGTCATTCTAATAATAAAGAAAAGCTAAGTGTTTATAATTCCTAAGTTGAATTTCTTTTTTCCGAGTACATAATTAGTCTATATAAATGTTTTATGTGCATTGTACCGGTGACTAAAAGCCTTAAGCAAATGATTTGAGTTAATAATGTTAACTAGTTAGGTTGTTTAAAAAAAACTAATATTATCAAAGGAGCTTATCATATAAAAGAAATAAATCAAGTAGTTTTAAATAAATTTAAATAATATATATATATATATATATATGTATAATTATCTATAGAATTTCAAAATTTAAATAATATATATGTATAATTATCCATGGAATTTCAAATTTTAAATAATATATATATATATATATATATATATACTAGAAGAGTACTCGCGCAATGCAGCGAGACACATCTTGATTTTAATGTTCTATTTTATTTTTTGTCTCTATCGATGTTATAATACGATTTTATGTGTTTTAAATAAAACAATAATGATTTTATTTTTGAATAAAATATAAATTTGAAGATATCATAAAAATTTGAAAAAAATTATATCAATTTTAATATCAAATCAACTATTT